CCTCGCCCCGCCTCTCCAGCAATCTCCAAGGCCCGGAAACACCAAAAAAGCACTTTTTTGACTATTCAAGCGCATTACCGGACCCAGCTGGTCCAGAAGGCCATGTAACCGTGTACAGCCCGCAATCGCAATTTTCCCGAACCACTGCCTTTGAACCCATAAAAAAGCCTTACTTTCTCTATGTCCGATCTTTCCTTCACAAGCCATTTGTTGAGTACAACCGCCATCTTTTCCAGATGCTCCTCATTGATACCACTTTCAGTAAAGAAGAAACCATCGTGGATCAACTTCAAGTTCGCAAGTTGTAGAGCCTAAGCAAGAGGTACCGAAGAGGCAATGCGTAGAAAGAAAGAGCTGCACTCACTTTCTCGCGCATTCGTGTATCGGTACTATTATCTTCCAAGATGTCCACTATAATTCTTGCGGCTACTCCACCAGGCATTAAATGTCGAAGCTGAAAAAAGCGTTAGTGTCAAAAGAAATGCAAATCCAGAATTATCTCACCTTTTCTGCACAAGTTTCTGCCCGAGAAGATAGAGCAACCCAATAGCGCACAGTTTGTGGTTCATTTCCTTGATCAGCGGCAACATTTTCTTTCTCAACAAACTCTGCCAGTTCCACTGAAGCTGTCATTAAGCGCTTTCCGATAGGCATCATTGATTGATACAACTCGGCGTCATCGAGCTGTCCCAACTATAACAATTTTCTCTTAAATCAGAAATAACGATACTACTCGGCTCAAAAAGAAGAAGGTCAATCGATTGAACGAAATTGAGATTCAGCGAGTGACACAGAAATTGGACAGTACTGGTAAAGCATGTAAAGAAGGAAAGCAAGAAATACTACTGACCTTATCGTATAGCTTTCTGGAGCTGAGTACCTTGACTACAAGGCCAATCGTGACAAAACGGAAATGTCGAAGTTTCGGCAAGGAGTACTTTGACCTATATCGATAAAATAGTGAAATAGTCATCTTGCATATATCAGGAGCGTACCTATCAAAAATAGTCTGATCCAGAACGTCTGCCGTCGGTGCAGAAGGATAGTCGCTTCCCAACCTTACGATGAATTGTATGAGATCCACAGCCGCAGAAAGCTGAAGGGGAAGTGAGCAGAAAACCAAAAAGACAAGCAACCAAGTGAATATACCTGAAAAACCGGATCAAGTCCAACGAAAAGCTCAAGAGCAAGATCCTCAAAGGCATCTTGCTCACTCGACCGTTTGTTAGGATCACCAGCAGTGCGTTGCCATCTCACACAAAAACTGTAAGGATAGACTTCTATGTTGAATCTC